CACCGAGGGCGGGAACGATGGCGGGAACAACCGCGGGAGCGAGGGCGGGAACGAGGGCGGGAACGAGGGCGGGAACGAGGGCGGGAAGGAAGGCGGGGAGGCGCCTCTGAGATTCCTCGCGGCGCCTCGGGGATTCCTCCAGGCGCCTCTGGAACCTCCGGGCGCTTGTGGGAATCCTCTGGGCGCCTCCGGGAAGCCTCTGGGCACATCCGGGGAACCTCCGGGGAACCTCCGGGGAAACTCCAGGGAACCTCCGGGAAGTCTGTTTGAGGTCTGTTTGAAGTCTGTTGGGGTATGTTTGAAGTCTGGCCGAAACTCTGCTTCAAGTCTGATTTCCCTGGGCGGCCCTTGGGTTCCCCAGGCGGCCCTTGGGTTCCCCAGGCGGCGGAACGAAGGCGAGAACGAAGGCGAGAATGAGGGCCGGAACGAAGGAGGGAACGAGGGCGAGAACGAGGGCGGGAAAGAAGGCGGGAACGAGGGCGAAAACGAGGGCGAGAACGACGGCTGGAGCGAGGGCGGGACCGAGGGTTTTTGTTTTTTCTGTCCCTTCCCGCCGCGTGGCGCCTGCAAGCGAAGCCGCTCCCCCCTCTCCAGCTCTGTCTCTGTGTCTGTTACTGTTCCCGCTTCTCCCTCTCTGATGTTTGTGCTAGTTCTCTCTATCGTTATCTGTCTCTCTGTATTTCTTTATTTCATTCCTTCTGGTGCCCCAGCGTGTGTACAGCTAGTGGCAAAAATCGCTGTCAGGCCGCGTGGCGGGGATGGCGCCCAACTGCGCGGACGCTTGTTTGAACAGCCGCGAGTGCGCGGGGCCGCCGCGTGCCACCGCGCGCCAAAAACATGTTTCCTTCTCTCCCCCGTACCACTCCCTCCCCCCCTCTCCTTTTCCCCCTTCATTTATCCGTTGTTTTCATTCCGTGCCTGCGCGCGCCCCATCGTTCCTACACCCCCCCCTTTCTTTCGAGCGCGCGTCGCCGGAGGTCAGTCCGGGCCCCTTTTCGGAGATCGACCACGACGCCTCCCCATTGGTGCGCCCTGGCCAGAATTTCGGAAGGGAATTATCAACGGTTGCGAGAACCTCCCAGAGGCTCAGCAAGCAACTATTAAAAAAAGCAAAAAACAAAATGAACAAAAAATGCCCAAACGCATCGACATCTGACGGGCCATTCTTTCGAAGCATGGCCCCTGGACCTGCTGACCCCTTCTAGGAACCAGCTGCTCGCCCCGGATCGTCTTGGGCGGCCCAGGGGCCTGGAAGCTGCCAGTGAAGACTGGAGTACGAACAACAAAAACTTCTTTGGACGCCCGAAATGGGTACCGAGAAAATGGGTACAATGCCCAACAGCAAATGTTGTCCCAAACCAACAGCGGCCGCTGTTGGGCAGGCGGCCCTCTGTCTCAAATGGACACAGGCCGCGGCGGCGTGGACAGCGAATCCTGTCCAAATTGAACAGGAACTGCTGTTGGGCATCGTACCCATTCTTTCCATGCCCATCTCGGGCGTCCAGAACTTCAGCCTCGCGCTTGTTGCGCGGCACCCGGCGGCCCTGTCAAAGTCGTCCTTCGTTCCAGCCAGAGGCTCCAAGGGGGGGCCGGCCGCGGCGACGAGAAGTCCCTCGGTCACCAAACAGCAGAGCACGTCCGACCTTCGAGCTTCGATGTTGGATCCAACTCCTCCCCCCCTTCCCCCCGAGGAGGAAGCCGAGGGGGAGGAGGGCAAAAAGGGGGGGGGGGGGAGGTTTGAGGTTGGAAGATTGCGCGAGGGGGAAGCCGCGGGGGAGGAGGGCAAAACGGGGGGGGGGGGGAGGTTTGAGGTTCGAAGATTGCGCGAGACGCGAGACGTGGGGCGACTGTTGCCTCCGAGGGTCTGGGCGCGAGACTCGGAGCCCAGTCATCCATCTCCCCCGGCCGCCCGCCCCCGATAAAGAAATAATCATAAGCGCCCTCGGGATTTTTCGAACCTCGATCTTGGCGGTCGTCGCGGTGCAGGGGCCATCCGTGGGAAGTAGAGTGCCTCGGCCGCGCCCTCGGTGGCCGGCGTTGCCCCCCCCCCCCATGCAGGAAAGCTGTCGTTGTCGCTCCCGACTTCGTTCCCGCCGTCGCTCCCGCCCTCGTTCCCGCCCTCGTTCCAATCTTCGTTCCCGCCCTCGTTTTCGCCTTAGTTCCCGCCGTCGCTCCCACCCTCGTTCCCGCTTTCGCCCCCGCCCTCGTTCCAATCTTCGTTCCCGCCCTGGTTTTCGCATTCGTTCCCGCCGTCGTTCCCACCCGCGTTCCCGCTTTCGTTCCCGCCCTCATTCGCGCCCATCGCGCCCTTTTCATTTGCAGGAAGACAAGCGCGCTTGCGCAGCGCGCCCCGTGCCCTCCGCCCCGAATTACCAGAACCCCGATGATACTCTGATTCAAGTCTGTTTTGACTCTGGCCTGAAACTCTGATTCATATATGATGTAGCTGAAACTCTGATTTAGCTCTGGTCTGGAACTCTGACGTAACTCCGATGTAGTTATGATTCGCCTGTGTGTTTCAGCGGTTGGGGAAAGAGTCAAAGCCGAAACGGAGTTGAGTCAGAACTTCCCAAAAAAAACTAAAATGAAACAGAGTTCTGGGCCAGAGTTGAATCAGAGCATAGAGTCCCGCAAGCCCTCTGGGTATAGGTGGTTTAGGGCGTTTCCTCTTCCATCCCCTCCCTCCTCCCCTTCGGGGAAGGGTTCATCACTGTTCCCTATTAATAAACACCCCCTCCCCCAGACGACTGGGGGCCAACCCAGGTCCATGACGACACCCTCCCCCACAATCCCTTGTAGGAAAAACAATCCCTTGTAAGAAACTTAGGAACATGCGCAGCCAACCCGATGCGCCCCCCCCCCCCCGCCGCACCATCCCTGTCAAAAAACAATACAGAGTACATTTGGCGGAGGCGGCGGCGGCTGCGGCGGCGGCTGCGGCGGCGGGATTGGCCCCCAGTAGCTACCCATCCAAAGACGACTGCTGCATATGCTGAGGCTCGGGCCAGACTCGGGTGCTACGTATGTGTTGGGAGGGCGGGTGGGAGTGAGCGCGATGGCTTGCGGGCGGGGAGGGGGTCTTGACCCCTCCCCCCACCCCCCGCCCCCCTGGACCTGGACGGGGCGTTCCACGAGCGGTCGGAGCGTCCAAAACGGCCTCCGCGAGGAACACAATTCATGGGTTTCACCAGGGTTTGGGCTCCATTTTGGCTTCTTGGGAGGGCGGCGCTAATTGGGGAACCCCCATTCCTTGATCGATCTCCTCCGAGATGGGCCCGCGAGCGCTCCCAAGGCTCCGAAGGGCGCCCCAAGAGGGCCCCTTATAAGTGGCCAGGAGGCCCCAAGAGGCCCCCAAGAGGCCCCCAGGACGCCCCCAAGAAGAGACTCTTTAATTCTCCCCCAAGCCTCCCGCGGACCCCGCCAAGAGGCCCATTCGCCGCACACGGCGGCCGCCGCCAGGCCTTGCAGGCCCCCTCCAGCTCGTGGCCCATCACGCCGCACACGCGGCCAAGCTAGCACTCGGCGACGACGACGCCGCTGGATGCACCAAGCTCCTTCACAACGCTCAGGAGGCTGGTTTGCGCGCCTCGCTCATGCCCCGCGCACAGGGCGCGAGATGCCCCCCTGCAGCGCCAGCGGGCCCAATCCAGCAAGCGGCGGCGCTATCCTCCCGATGCCGAAGCTGGGCGGAGGAGCCCCCGCTCCGACGCTGTCCAGTCTATCCGCGACGCGCTGGCATCTGCATCTCGGTCGCCTGGAGCTGCCCCGTTTGTGGATGCTTGCCTGCCAATATCCTGTCCCGATTATTCCTCTCGGCGTCGTCTCTGCTGCTCGCACCCCGCTTGGCTTGCGGGCCTGGACAGGCCACTCCTAGCCCCGCCCCCCGCCTCGCTGAGTGCGCACCGCGCACGGCCCATGCACTTCCACTCGGTGTTCCCGTTATCGAGGTGCGTCCTCTGCTGCTGGGCCCCGTCTGCGCTGGTCATCGGCGGCTGCCGCTGCTGCTGCTGTTGCTGCGGCGGCTGCCACCGCGATGGCCGCGTTCGCCTCTAACGGGCCGGCCGCGCCCGTCGCCCGGCCCCCAGTCGATCTCCACAACGGCACCTGGCACCCGGGCCCCCACAGCTTCTGCTTCATCCTCTTTGTCGCCGCCCTTCGTCCACATCTCATGCGCACCACCCGACCAACAGTTCAGCACCCCGACGCGGCGCCTGGTGAGCGCTATCTGCGGCTTGACCACTTCTCGCACAGGTCGCCCACCTTCTCGCTTCGGTACGTCTGGCCACCCCCCCGCCATCTGATGATGCCACCACCCTATGGTCTGCAACGCACATCGCACTCGGCAAGCTAGGTCCTCCACCGCCTGATGCCCCCCGCAGTTGGCGCCCAGTTCAGCCCCCGCTTCGGCTAACAGGTCCACCTCGGCGTTGCCCTTTGCGAGCTCGAGCTCGTCTCCCTCCAGCTGCTCGATCATGGACATGGATCTGTGCGCGCTGACGTGGCGCACCTCGCTGGCTTTCAAAAGTCCATGCCGTTGAGCTTGTACCAGATTCGCTTCTAGATGTCCGCAGGCGGCCACTTCCAACTTAAGCACCACCCCCCGCTCTTTCGCTCGCCCTCTATGGTCCCCCTGTGATCCGCGTAGATCTTGCCGTCGCCCAACTTATGCTCCAATACTTTGTAGAAGGCCCACATCTCCGCTTTTTCCACTTGCCTATGGACTGGGGGCGTGCGGGGTAGAGGCCCACATCTGGCATTTCGGCTTACCTTCCTCGTTCACCGACATTGCTGCTCATCCAGCCTGCGCCCACTGACTGTAGCCTGGCCTAGAGCCATCGCACGCGATGCCCCCCGTGAAGTGGTCCTCGCCTTGCTCCACCGCCCTCATCAATCTCTATGAACGTCCAGTCCGCCTCCGGGTGCCTCACCAGCCCTCTAGTCCAGAGTAAGTTGTCCTCCTGCTGCTTCGCCATCGTCTGCCACTCTGGCTGCGCCTTTAATCACAGCTCCCGCAAGGCCGTGCACTTACACCTGTGATGTGAAGCACCCTCCGCCAAGCCACACGCCGAGCATATGTCTGCCGGCGCAATGCTGCACTGGCCCAGCTTGCCCATTGTCCAGCTCCGGCTCACGCAAGCTTTCTTCACTGCATTCTTGGCGTGCCCGGGGAAATCGCGCGCCTTCAGCTGTGCCACCGCAGGCACAACCACCGGCGCAGGCCGCAAGCACGCGCGCTCCTCCTCCTTGGTCCAGGCCTCCCACAGCTGCTGCTGCACGTCGTCGTTTCGTAGCATCGCCGCCACGTCCATAGGGCGCGCCTCCCGCACGTCCAGGGCGCAGCCTGTCTTGGCGATGACCGTGCGCCAGGCTGGCCATGACCACTGCGCGCGCATCAAAGACATGATAACTGCTCCTGCTGGCCCTCGCACCTGCGCCCACACCGGCTTCATCCCGACCTCTTGCTGCTGTCGCCTCCACACCTTCACCATCATGGACTCCGCGCTGCCCCACTGCTGGTTCACCTCCTTGGCCTGCGCTGTTTGCCAGACCTCCCTCGCCCAGCGGATGATGGACGCCTCCGTGACCTCAAGTGTGGGTTCCTCACCTGCCAGTGCCAACTGCAGCGTCAGGCTCTTGGCTCCCCGTCCTCCCGGTAGTGATCGTCCTGCTTCGCGTCGCAGCTGCCGAAGCTGATGATCTGGCATCCCAATGCACTTGCACCCGCACAGCACCGACCTCTTCAAGCCGCGCTTGAAAGCCAGCGTAGTCCCATTGGCCACCTTGCGGCCTCCCCCTTTCAGGTTCGCCAGCCGCCTGCCCCTGCCGAGCACGCCCATGCACCGCTTCCCACTCTTCGCCTTCACCACCGCCCCGTGCGCGACGAGGTCCACGCCGAGGCACGGGCGGGCTCTCACTACTGGTAGCCCTCTGCGCGCAATGTCCTTCGCCACCGTCCTGCGCAGACACTTCGCGCTCGCCAGCGCCGTTGGCTCCCCACCGAGAACTTGAGGTCCAGCTTGTTGAAACTCACGTTGCACGCGTCGATGGCGTCGCTGAACTCCTGCGCGATACTGCTGCTGCTGCTGTCGAAGACGCACACACAGGTCACCAGCATGCATGCGCCACTTTGAGCGCGGCCTCTCCGCCACTAAGCCATCGACCGCCGACTGGATGACCATCTTCAGGAAGCACACCGAAAACTTGCTTCCAGCTATGATCGCGGCCGCCGTGCTGGTCTCGCTCGACACTGAATCCCCCGCTATGAGCCTCCTCGCTATCGCGAAGTACGAACACACCACCGCTAGCACTCCCGCGTTGAAGTCAAACTGCTTGCCCGCCTCCGACAGAACGTGCAAGCTCACCTTTTCGAAAGCCTTGCCCATGTCCAGCACCGCGGTGATCGTGGCCTCCGACTCCTCACTCTCGTTGTCGGGATTGTCCATCTCGTGGCTCAGTAGTACATCCCACGCGGCGTCCTCTGCTGCCTTCTCGTGGCTAGTGCAGCCCCGGCTCCTCTGGTGCTCCTTCGCCCACTTGATCACGCACGGCTCTCTCATGATCTCCCACGCGCGGATGGTCGGCAGCAACCCAATCACCCTGTCGGTGGTGAAGGCATTCGGGGCTATGCAGAAGAGGACCGTGGCCATGTGGACCGGCCAGATCAAGGCGCACTCCACCACCCTGAGGATGTCCAGCAATCTGCTGCAGGCCTCTTCGCACGCGCCCTGCAGCACGGAAGGACGCCATCGGTCCACTCCAAGGCCCGCGCGTCTCCTGAAGGTGCGCGCCACCTCCTTCGGCCTGTCGGTATCCTCCTCCTTGATGTCTTCGAGCTCCTGCCTCGGCCCCTGCTCCCATGGCCTCGGCCCCTCCTGCATCTTCTCGCCTACCCTCCAGACGACCTTCCACTCCTCCAAGGTGTACTCAGCCGCCTCCAGAGGGTCCGCTTCCTTCTCCATGGCGCCCGGTGCCCGCGCGCCTGGGCCCCCACACTGTCGACGCCCCACTGAGCTCGCGTAGCCCCCCTGCCGCCCCTGCCGCCACTATCTCCAGCTTATCAGCCCACTTCGCCTTCCTCTCTCGCAGCAGCCTCTGGTCTACCGCCTTCATCTTGCTCTCCGCCTCCTGCATCCAGCTCTGGAAGTTCGCCCCCTCACCCCCTCCTCGCCGCTGCCCAGCTGGCATCACGCCACGCCGCGCCTGCCAGATACCCTGCTCCTCGACGCGGATGTACGTCATGCGCCTGGGCCTGACCTGGAACCACTTTTCCCGGCTTCTCATCTCGCGGCACCTCTTCTGCACCATGTCCTGCTCCTTCGCTTTCCCCCACCGCAGGTGCGTGCCTTGCAGTCCATGCAGGGGCCGCGTTAGCCGCCGCCACCACGTTGCCTCCCTCGCTGCCGCGGGAACGTTCTCGCCACCAAAATTGAACGGTTTGATCCTCCACTTCGGCCCCTCTGCTCGCCCCGCGCGCGGGTCGTCCTCCGCGCACTGCATACCTCTGTCCTGGAAAGCCTCCTGCTCCAGAACCCGCATGCACTTGGTCCACGCCACATTTGCCTGCTCTTGCGTCTTGAACTCCTGCGCGCGCTCGTAGCTCGGGGGCGCGGGCGCGCGCGCCCTATCTGCACCTCTGGTGGCGCCCTGGGCTTTTTTTTCCAGCACCCTGGCCATGCGCCCCACGAACTTGAGCTTGATCGTTAGCCCGGCTGGCTTGCGCGACGCCGCTGGCCACGATTCCTGCACTTCCATGTGCTGCACCTACGCCCGCACCGAGTCCGCCACCAGGAAGTCGTCGATTTCGGTATTCCCATAGATCGGCCTGCAAGTGCCGCAGGCCGCATTGGGCGCCACCACCGTTGCCTTGGCTACCTTCACACCCTCGCCTCCGCCATCACCTCAGGCGCCACCTGTAAGTCACCCTCAATGACCCACGGCACCCCCAGGCTCTGCAGCTTCCCAATCACGTGCGCGATGAGCTGCGTGTTCCTGTACGCCACGCCCTCCGCCGTCCACGAGTACACGGCGGCGAGCACCACGCCCTTCCCGATCGACAGCCACGCCGCCGCAGTCCTACCTGGGCTGGCATTCGGCGAGATGCCCCAGTCGCCCTTGCCGCACAAGTAGGCCATGCCACTCTCTTCGGCACCGCAAGCGCCACCCAGGCCGATGTGCCTGCCTCTCCGTTGGGCCCCGTGGTGGCCACCGCCGCAGCGCCACCCATGTGGTACCCCTGCATCTTCATGCTCTGCGTGGCCACCGCCAGCTTGTCCGTGGCCAGGTGGCGCCCCTGCACTGCGCAGCACTGCAGCCCCTGCATATCCTCCATGAGATCGTCCTTGATCGTGCCCCAGCCCGAGCCACTGTACGTCCACAGCGTGGCCGTGTCATGCTTGGGCTTCCTGACGCGCTTGTCAGGAACGCTTCTGCCTCTTGGCTGCGTGCTCGGCCAGGCTGGCGCAAACCTCCAACCATCGCTTCCGCCAATCTGGTGTAGCTTCATATGGTACTCCTCCTGCTTTGGGCCATTCCTGTTCTTCTGCAATAAGCTTTGGCCCATCATCTTGCGTTGCTGCTGCTGGTGGCGCTGTTGCCTCGCCCTGACCCACGAGCATGAGGTGAACCACCAGGACTCTCAACATCCATGTACATGTCCTCCTGCTTGTCATTCGCCAGGACCTTACCCAGCACCGTGAAGACCTGCTCGTACTCCTGCTTGCTGATGCCGGTGCCGTCGACCGCGCCCTCGAACTGCTTCTGCATGGCCGTGAGGAAGGCCGGTGACTCCCTGGCCCCGAAGTCCTGCACCTTGAGTTCCTGCTCCTTGGCCCTGGCGATCTGCAGCTGCGCCTGCTTCTTCTCGAGCCTCGCTTTGGCCTCCTCCAGCCTCTTCTCGAACCAGCTGACGTCGTTGGCCAAGGACTCGGTCTCCTTCTCGAGCTTCTCCCTGGCGTAGCGCGCCTGCTTGAGCTGCACCGCAGGCGGTTTCGCGCTGTCCTTCTCCTCCCCGCGGCCTGGTACTTCTCGAAGGCAACCTGGTACTCTTCCGGGTCTTCGCCCCGCTCCTGCTTGCACGACTGCGCCACTTGAAGAGTCGCGCCAAGTCGACCTGCGGCTCCTCGTTCGCGGGCTTCTCCTGGTTGCCATCCTTGAGGGCCCTGAGCTCCTCTCGCATGGCGTCCAGCTTCTTTTGCATGGCTGCCTCCCGCTTGGTCGGGCCCAGCAGCGCCTGCTTGTAGGTGACCTGCTGCCGCGGCGCCTCAGCCCCACAGCCACGGCAGCGCCTCCGCGTCGCAAATGCTCTTCCGTCCCGCATTTGCAAGACCATTTGCCGTCGCCACTGCTCCCAGCCCGCCAAGGCCAGCCCGTTGCCGGCATGGCGCGCCCGACTGCCGAGCGGTAAACCGCCCTGCTCGCCGCGGACCAGCGGTGTCCCTTTGTCCACAAGGGCGGTGCACCCGCGTGTTGGACATCTTGAGCACAAAATGGCTACGGAAAAAGCTCCCTAGAGACCCCCAAGAGGCCCCCCAAAGGCACCCGAGACGTTCCAAGAGGCCTCGGCGAGAATGCCAAAATCATCGATTTCACAACAAGGTTTTGGCCACATGTTGGTCTCCTGGGGGGGGCCTGCTCAAGATGACCCCATCAGCGCCTGACAAGATGACCTCCGAGATGGCTCAAGATATCCCAAGATGCCTAAAGATGGCTCCCACGATGCTCCAAGAGGCTCCAAGACCGCTCCAAGATGGCTCCAAATGGCCAGAAGGATCCCCAGGAGGCCCCGAAGAGGCCAAAATCCTTGGGCTTTCTCGCCTTTTCGCTTCCGGTGGCCATCCGAGGCCTCAAGATGGCTCCAAGATGGCCGAAGAGGGCTCCAAGAGCGCTCTCAAGGCTCCAACGAGCGCTTCGAAAGGGCCCCAAGAGGCGCCCAGGAGGCCCCAGGAGGCCCAACAGGCGCCCAAGAGGCCTCCAAGAGGCTCCCAAGAGACACACAAGAGGCCCCAAGAAGCTCTCCGAGGCACCCAAGACGCTCTAAGAGGCGTCCGGAGCCGCCAAGAGGCCCCTAAGACGCTTCAAGAGGCCTCCAGTGGGGTACCCTTCCTCTGTGTGCTGCCCACCCTGATCGAGGCAATTCCTCTGGGCATCGTTTCTGGATGGGCTGGTGGGTTACTTTTGCTCGCGAGCGACGCGGTCAGCCGCGCGCCGTCAGAAAGAAATCGAAGAAGAAGCACAAGCCCTGCTGTCGCAAAGCTGGTGGGGTTACGCGAAGTGTTTAGAATTCAGCTCTGAGGCTAGTTTGCCTCAAAAGACACACTCAAATCAATGGTGCGCACGGGGGCGGCGGAGACGGGACAAGGTGGCGACGGCGACAACAAAGCCGCCAGACCGCCAGAAAAGCCCTGACGAGGGGCGGCGACGAGGCGGCGACGGGGCGGCGACGGCGACAACATAGCCGCCAGACCGCCAGACAGGCCCAGACGACGGGCGGCAACAAGGCGGCGACGGGACGGCGACGGGGCGGCGAGGGCGGCAGCGACAACACCGCCAAATAGGCCAAGTTCCACTTTCCAGAGAAGTAGGAACCGCCCAGTGCAAGCTCTGTTTGGGGAATAGATGCGTGTATTCATCAGCGGGGGCAGATGTCGTGGCGAGGAGGAGAGACGGAACACTATCATGGTTGCGTCCCTTCCTGGCTCTTCCTCGTCCTCCTCCCTCTGCGGAAACTCCAGAGGCCTCCTGCAGGGGACCTCTGAAGGTCTCTGGTGGAGACGGGGCTGGCTTCGTCGAGGCCAAGCGTGGGCATGCCCCTCTGGGGTGGGGAATGAAGAAGGGAGTGGAGGCGGTGCTGCTGCTCTTCCTTCTCCCTCCTCCCCCCCTCCTCAGCCCTCCTCCTTCTCCCCATCCTCCTCCCCCCCTCCTCCTCTTTCTCCTCCTCCTCCTCCTTCATCCTCTGCAAACCTCCGGCGTCGTGATGTTTCTAGACCGTGACTCCCAAGAGTCTGGAGCCATTGCCGGGGACCTCCTGTTTATCCAGTTGTTGTATGGCCTGGGGCCTCACAAGGGCCTCCCGATGCAGAAAAATGAAAAGCAAGCACACACACACACACAAACACATGCGACAAAAAAAGGCAACACACAGACTCACACACGCACACAACGTGTCATTACGCGAGGAGCTCAAGGTCCTCCACCTCCTCCTCCTCCTCCTCCGCCGTCCTCAGTGTGTGGGAGATTTTCCAACTCTGGGGGGGCCCTACCGGGCCCAAGGGCAGTCAACAAAACGCCAGGGGATAAAAAACGGTCCGCTGGAAAGGGGCCAGACCTGCTGGTAACTAGATTGGAAAAGCCGAGACGTCGGAGATCGCAAGACCCAGACATCCGACGTCGCTTTTTGTCACAGCGTAAGGACGTCAGAGTCCTCCTCCTCCTCCTCCTCCTCCTCCGCATCTTCCTCCTCCTTCTCCTGATCCTCGTCCTCCTCCTCCGCATCTTCCTCCTCCTCCTGTCTCCCTCCCCACGTCATGACAAAATGACGAAAGAACTTGATGCGCTGCTTTGGGCTCTGGGGGGGCCCTTTTCGGGCCCCAGGGTCGTCACGAACACCTGCCAAATATGAATTGCTCCTGGAAGTGTTAAAGAACACCTGGGATCCTCACTGTGAACAAATCATGACGTCAGACGTCTCCTCCTCCTCCTCCTCCCCCCTCCCTCCTCGTCCCCCCCTCGCTTCTCCAATTAAATCCCCCTTTTCCTGCCCACCCGAGCACCGACATCTTGAGGTTGCCATTTCCAAGAGTGCCTCAGAGGAAGCATGATGCCTCCCTCGCATCGTATGCCGCTGGGTCAGGCAGCAGGTTTTGCTGCTGCCCCAGCACCTTGGATCGGCGCCGGACCTCAGAGATCCGCGCGAACCTCCGAAAATGTATGTTCACCATCTCGTTCATTGCTCTTCGACGGAAAGACTGGCTCTTTTCCTCCCACCGCACACGGCATCCACACTTGCTGTAAACACGCAGTTTCGCCGGACGGTTGGCACGAAGAGAAGGGGTCCTGAATGACACGGGTCCTGGACCGCGAGGCTTTCCCCCGGGGCCAATGTTGTATCCTGAATCGTTTGTTCACGCCACTGGGGCCCATGAGAGGGGCTCAAAAGTCCGAAAATTGCCATAAGCCTCCAGGGCCCATGTCCTTCAAAACCTGAGGGGCAGCGTTAGGGGAGAAGCGGTTCAGAGGAGGGGGTGGGGAGAACCTCGACCAGGATTCGGCGGGACATCGCCGATGGATCGGCACTAGGCCCCCCCGATAGCGGCACCGCACGGTCCTAGGCGGGGTGGGCTATCGGGCCCCCGTCGGCGATCAATGGGCGATTGTGGGGGAAACCACAAGGTACCCATACCGCTACTCCCCGGACCTCTCCAGGGGTGCCTTCTGACCAAAACTTCGAGGCGAATCCAGCGGTGGCGACGGTGGCCTCCCAGGAGGCCCAAAAAGGAGAAAGCGAAGCAAGGGTAGTGGTACGGCTACCTTGTCCCCATCCGACTCCCCCACTGAACCTGTCCCCCATACGTTCGGGCGGCTGGTCATGGGGGGTGACACCCAATGGGGGGTGATGCAAAAGGCTCCCAAAGGAGCCGTGTAATCTGTAGGGCCCTTTTGGGCACCAACTGGCTCGGACACTGAAGGGCCCCCGTTTGGGCCCCCCATTTGGGTCACCCCCCATTCCTTCACCCCCAATTTGGGTCACCCCCCATTACCACCCGCCCGATACGCTGCCCCCCAAGACCGCACGCCGTCATGTCGAGACGGGCTCGAATTCTGAAAAGCGTGCCGGCCCGCCGCCGGCCCTGCCGCCGGCCCTGCCGCCGGCCCTGGACGCCGGCTGCCGATGGCCACACCAGGGAGTCATGGGCCGCTGGTTCCACCACCACAACCAGAGGAAGGAGGAGGAGGAGGAGGAGGAGGAGGAGGAAAAGGAGGAGAAGGGAGGATGAGGAGGAGGAGGGGGAAGGACCAGGAGGAGGAGGAGAAAAAGGAGGAGGAGGACCTCCCCATCCTCCCCTCTCCCCAATCAAACCCATGGTAGCGGTGGAGGAACATGGACCCATCACGGAAGCCCAGACATCCGACGCCTTGATCCTCTGCGACACAGGGCCCCCAGCACTCCCGACCCTGCCCAGAGGGCGGGCCCCTCGTCCCGGGGCCCGTCTGCTGAAGGCCCTGGGACCCAGCGAGGGCCCAGCGGGAGGCCGGAAACGGCGAAACCACCTCCAGTCCCGATTCGTCCATTGGCACGCCCGCAGCAGGCACGGGAAAGATGGGACCATGGCCAAAAGCGAACGTTGTCCAAAACCGACAGCGGCCGCTTGCCCAGAGTCTCAAGTGGACAGCGCTCGCGACGGCACCGACAGCGAATCCTGGAGGACCAGGAAAAGAAAGTATGGGCATGAACTTTGACGGCCCACGCAGATTTCTCGGATCTGCGCTGGACCCCTCTCCCTGGCGCGCGGAACGCGACGAGAGGGCGCCGGAGGCGCCGCCAGGGGGCTCCCACGCAGATGAAAGAGATTCGCGCGGGCCGTCGAGCAAGTATGTTGACCTATAGGTAGCAGATGATAAGAATGGGCGCTCGAAGAAACAAAGAGCATTTCAGCTTCGTTATGCTTCTTCGAGTGTCAACTCTCGGCGGCGAGCGAGGGGGGGAAGTGAGAAGGGGCGGGCCTTCTGAGAAGGTTCGGAGGTCCCATGGCCTTCTGGGAAGTTCTCTGAGCCTTCCCCGAAGACAGAAAAAACCTCTCAGAAGGCGCGAAGGCTTCTGAGAAGCCCAGCCGCCTTCTGAGAAGACCTTCTCCTCCTCACTTCCCCCCCTCCATCGCCACCGAACGTGGTTTTCTAGTCGTAACTCGGGTCTCCAGCGGCCGTTCGGGACACTCCGGGTACCCCCAGAATGCCCGCGGCGAGGCGCAGCTGCTGGCAAGCGTCCCGAGGGCAGAAGACCGCCCCCAGAAACCTCGAACCTCGACGATCGAACCTCGAAACTCCCCCCTCGCTCGTCGCCGATCTTCGAGTGCCGATTCCTTCCATGCCCGCGTCGACCGCGCCGAGACGCGAGGATGTCCGGGGCCCGCTGCCGGGGATGCGCGTCGAGGAGCGGAGACGCCCCGTCGCGCAGCAGGCACTGAGTCGGGCCTGTCACCCTACAGGGGGGCTTTGAACGAAAAGCAGCAAATGCTCAAAAAATGTTCGAAGGATGCCAAAAAATATTCAAAAAGTTGTCCCCAGACTACGTTTTGCTACTCTTGAATAGTCCCACTGTAGAAGGACAGGCCCGACTCACGGCAGGCACGGTGGGTGGGGGGGCACGGCAAGGGCACGGCGGA